AACTGGTCATGGGAGCACTTGCCAGTAGTCCTAGTTACTCGGAAGGCTGAGGCAGGAGGATTACCTGAACCCAGGAGTTGGAGGCTGCAGGGAGCTACAATCACACCACTGTACTCCAGGCTGGACAAGAGAGCAAGACTTTGTCTCATTTTAAAAAAGGGCGGGGGTCCAGTCACAGTGGCTTATGCCTGTAATCTTAGCATCTTGGGAGGCTAAGGTGGGTGGACTGCTTGAGTTTAGCAGTTCAAGACGAGCCTGAGCAAGAGTGAATCAGATCCCTGTCTCTACTAAAAATAGAAAAATTAGCTGGATATTGTGGTGGGCATCTGTAGTCCCAGCTACTCAGGAGGCTGAGGCAAGGGATTGCTTGAGCTCAGGAGTTTGAGGTTGCTTTGAGCTATGATGCCATAGCACTCTAGCCTGGGGCAACAGAGTGAGACTCTGACTAAAACAAAACAAAACAAAAACAAAAAAAAACCCAAGGAAGGATGGTACAGATTTCTTTCTTTAAAACCTTTTTCTTTTGGGCTGGGCACAGTTGCTCACACCTACAATCCTAGCACTCTGGGAGGCGGAGGCGGGTGGATTGCCTCTATGGAGCTCATAGGTTCGAGACCAGCCTGAGCCAGAGTGAGACCCCTTCTCTAAAAAAATAGCCAGGCATTGTGGCAGGTGCCTATAATCCCAGTTACTTGAGAGGCTGAGGCAAGAGAATCACTTGCGCCCAAGAGTTTGAGGTTGCTGTGAGCTAGGTTGCCATGGCACTCTACTGAGGGTCTGAGGGTGACAAAGTAAGACTCTGTCTCAAAAAAATCAAAAAACAAAAAACCTTTCTCTTTTGAAATAATTTTAGATTTACAGAAGAGTTACAGAAGTAATGCAGAGTTCCCACAGACGCATCATCCAGCATCTCTAATGTGAACATCTTATGTGACCATGATTTATCAAAAGTAATAAATTAACATCAGTGAGACACTATTAACTAAATGGCATACTTTATTGTGATTTCACCAGTTTTTCCCTAATCCTACAATGCACTGAGGTATCCTATCTCCCTAGGCCCCTATGTCTGTGAGTTTCTCAGTCTTCTCTTGTCTTTCATTGCCTTGGCATTTTTTTGTACTTTGTGCAGATTTGTGTATTTGTGGAAATCTGTTGGAGTGAGTAACCTTGGCCTACAAGGTAGAGTGGGTGGGTGAACCACAGCCTGCGGGAGGAATCCAGGTGGCTGTATGTGTTTGTAGGCCTATAAGCTAAGAATGGGTATTTTTTTTTTTTTTTT